ATGTTAAAACATTTTGATTTTCAGATGAAAATAGAAAAATATCAGCACTAATAATTTTAAATATTACAAAGAATGCATTGAACGTAAGTAGATAAAGCTACATATATTCAGTTCTCTTTTACTCTCTTGATATCCAGTTTGTTTTACAATATCAACAACTACTATGTTTAAGCCTACTTTAACAGATTGTTCGCATTATTAAGTGGATACCTTCATAACATGTACCAATGACTGCTTATTTTACAGCCCTTGGCAGAGTTCATCGGTTGTAGCCAATTCTTGGCTGTAGGATGATGTGCTCTTTGTATCCTCACATCTGGGCTCTTTAGAGCACCAAGAATCATAAAGATAATAAAATGAAATCTAAGAAATAGTTTATAAGAAAGTGTGACAATGAGACATTATGATAAACTCACTTTGGCAAGTTTACCACACTGTTGACTTACATAAGTTCCAAACTGCTTAAAAAAAACCCCCGATGTGCATCTGTGCATCTGATCTGTGATCATGGCTTAGAAATGCACCGAGTCTATTTTCCCCTTCAATTACGGATGTGGCTCGGTAAGTGTTGTGCGTTTGTGTGCACTCACCGTGTAGCAGTGAAAGTGTGTTCTATCCTCTCCTCCCCTGGCCAGTAAACCACTGAACCATCTATGGCTGCTTCAGGTTGTGGCAGAAGATGAGCCGGTAGTTCCTCATTGACAGACCGCTAATCCCTCGAACAGGATTCCCTTCTAGCTACACTGAGAAGAGAACCAGGAAAAGAAAAAAGATGGAGGGGAAAAGAACAGGAGATAATGGCAGAAGAAGACAGGATAAAGATGGAGACAAAAAAGATGGAACGTTTTAATTAACCAATCGCAGGTGTGTTGAAAAACACAATTAGCTACTTCATGTAGTAACAATGGGTTTCATGTGGGCTATAGTTTTCCACTTCCTGTTTCTATTCTCAGGCTTTATATTCATACGCTGCATGTTCATGGTTATTTAGTGATGAAAGATGCATTGGGCCCAATACCAAAACTGGAATCGCAGCAATAAAAACCCACAACAGCGAGTTTCAGTTTTCCCTTCTCTTCTTCTAGGCTACGTCCACACGTACACGGGTATTTTTGAAAAAGGAGATTTTCCGTTTTCGTTTTAAAAAATAATCCCGTCCACACGTAAAGGCAGAAATGAAGGAAGACTAGGAACATGCCAAAGCAGCAGGTGGTGCTATATTCCTAACCGTCCAGAAATGTTGGCCAATCAGAAGTCTAGAAGCCTCGGTGGGAAAAAGTAAACAAAGCTGGGGCATAGAAGCAGAACCGAGTCGTATGTGTGGAGGGACAGTAACTGTGTGTGTATATGTAAGCATTTAAACACTGCAGAGAGAA